TGAAGGACGGCTTTCATTGTGTTCCGCGCACGCGAGCACGTCCACCCGCTAGAATCTTAACATAGAGCGGTCGTTTGTGTGCCTCAGTTATCTATTGAGCTATGTTGGGTGGTACCTTTTTGCACCTTCAGAGCCGCTGAGACCAGATTGATCATTGGTTAGAGGCCAGCGAAACTCAGCCACCTGGTCCCTCAGGACTCCTTGTCGCCCAACACCAAACCCGCTGCCTGCCGGTGGGGATTTTGACCCAAAGCTTTGGTGCGATACCCTACTCTCTTCATAAGGGTCAACAGGCAACGTTTTCCGGGATATTAAAGACCCACTTGACCTGTATCTGCTGCTTATTGGAGAACTGCCTGCAAGACTGCAGCTCTATGCTCAAGCTGCCACCCCTTCAGGTGACACTAACAACACTTCCTCTTTGCGCCTATCCGGTGACGATGTAGATTTTAGTACCGTCCAAGCCAGTGGGGTATTGTCCTGGGTCCCCAGGCTGAAGCTACTCCAGTTGCTTGGATCCCAATTTATAGACGGATGTGTGCGGTCCGCCGGGATGGCTCGTTCAAAGCTTCAAAGTCGGGTGGGACTAACAGGTGTCTATTCGTTATCGCTGCCTATGCACCAACAACCTGTAGCGAGGCCACAGTAAACCACGACTTCCGTCGTCAATTTAACGAGCTACTTCGCCACAGAAGGAGCTTGGACGCTGTAGTGCAGGCCAGGTCTCAGAACGCTCAAGTTGGGAAGGTATCCATTGATGAACTGCATCTGGATGGTCAACTTGGTGAAGGCTCCCGTAATAATAACGGTAAGTGCTGACTCCATTTGCGTGAAGATACTGGATTATTTTTAGGAGCACTAATGTCCGACAGAGCACTGGACGGAGGGTGAATTGGCGCCCTACAGCTTCGAGCCAGCTATGGACGCAAATAGACCACATTGCGTTACCTTAACGATGCAGAGGCTGCGTCCAGAACTGCCTCTCGATTTGGAGCACATGTGTAGACACCGACCAAGCACTTGTATGTGCTGACCTGCTGATGCGTTTTGGCGGATGCCAAAGACGACATTGTGAGCGCATTGACACCAGATAACTGGCAAAGCCAGCTATTTTGATTGCCTATCAAAGTACGCTGTCGTGCAAATTGAGTGAGCGCACACTGGAGAAAATTAATGGGCACTAGTCCCCTATTCACCAGACCTTACTAGCAGCAAGCGAGTCCTCATGTGGTAAGTATAATCGCTGACGTAAACTTTGGGTCCGTTCACAGTCTCTGGAACTTATCGATGCTCGCCGGCATATTTAGGCTGAATGCAACTACAATGAAACTCGCAAACAGCTCCGGGGAAAACTCCTGCTAGACTGAAAAGAGCCCGCGAATCCTGGTCGCCTCATCGTGCTTCAGAGATGGAAATGGTCGCAGCAAATGGTAACCTTGATAACTTATACCGGCTAGTACGGGAAACGGGCAGCAGCGGAAATTGTGTTAGTGCTACTATACGTGGAGAGTGGACAGTCTATCCACAATTTGTCAAAATGCTTGGAGCGTTGGTCAGAGCAGTTTGAATGGCAAGCCAATAAATAAATAAATAAATAAATAAATAAATAAATAAGTAAACTTTTATTCTCGACAATGCGAGGCACACCTGTACAGGCATGATCATGTTTAGTTAACATAGTGTGATCAAAACGTACAAAGAGTACATGTTTGGCATAACAGTGAATGTAAGTGTATGGGTGTATATATGTATGCAATTGTCTGTGAATGTAGCTTGTATTTTTGAATGTGCCACAGCATTTTTGACTGTTTGTTATCGGTAGGAATGTGAGAATAAGCGATTGACGACCGTGGGTTGGATACCATTTTCCGGTTGTCCACGGGCCAGCGACTTTATTTTGTGGCGAGTCACATCCGCCACGTCACAGTGTTGATAAGCAGACATTTGTGGCTTTTTATAAGGAGAACGCTTGCCGGGCAAAAACCCACCACGTCCTGGAACACTGCCGCCGAACTATTTGCTGGAACGGGTTAAACCCGAACCACCCAGCTGGCACGACGAGGAGGTTGTTCGGTTAGAGCTCTCACCGGACACTGAACGCTACGCCCAGTGGGCTGTCTATTTAGAACCACCCTTTTGCTCAGAAGTCGAATATGAGATCGGACAGCTGAATTTACACAAAGCCGCGGGACTAGATGAGCTTCCCCCACCCCTTCAAATTCGGGGGACATGCTCTTGTGGATGAGTACTAAGAGTTACTAGTAAAACTGTGGGAGCGGGAAACGGTCCCAACCACGGGAGTCGATCCGTCCTAGTTCCAAGTTCCAATAGAGGCTGACAATCGGAATGCAGAAATCATAGAGGAATCACGCGGCTTTGCATAGAGTCCAAGTTGCTTGCCTCTCTCGTCCTTCACAGACTGACTGGCACTCATGAAAGCCACATTCGTGAACAACATGCCGGGTTTCATCGACGATGTGACCGCATTCCCTACACCTTCACTTTGCGTCAGTTGTTCGAACACCGTCACATATATTGGCGGATCACGGTTGTGCAGTTTTAGGACATCAAAAGTGCATGCGATGCCTTGGATAGAAGTGCAATTGGGGAATGTCTATCCAAGAAAGGTGAACCTGAGCAATACGTAGAGGTTATCCGATCATTAAACGCGCGCAGCTCAGGCAGAGTGAGGGCTTACGGCAAGGTGTCTTCTCCCCTTATTAACGCCAGCGCTGAGAGACAAGGATGTACGCTGTCACCATTTCTCTTCAACTGCACTATTGACGAAGTGATGGAAATCGCGTTCTCAGACCACGACACAGAAGGTGTGGACCTGCACCCAGCAGAACGACTTCTTGACTTAGAGTATGCTGATGATATTGCCATAATCTGTAACATCTGACAAACGTACCAAGCGACACTGGACAGTTTATCACTGGCTGTCCGTCACTTCGGGCTTTGCTTTGCACCATCAAAGTGCAAAGCGTTCCTGGACCGCCTCCGATGCTGACCCATGGTATGGATCAGCAAGAAGTCGTTCAAAATTCACCTACCTGGGAAGTTGCATCAGTACCCGTGGGGTAGAAGATGAGACCACGAACCGTATAGCAAAAGCTAAAAGCGTTTTTGCGGATCGCCACTTATGGCGCCGGCGCGACATCACACTCCTCCGGAAGAGAAGAGTTAACAATGCAACAGTATGTTCCACCCTACTGCATGGTCGTGAAACCCGGCCCCTTAAATTAACGGACATAAACCGGCACGTTAAGTTAGTTTACCGGTGCCTTGGCAATTTAGCTTACAACTGGTGGGAACACCGAGTAAGCAACGCGCGTGTTAGACACCTTGGTTAGGGCACAGGAAAAGGAAACGGACCGATCAGCACAGTTGTTTCACGCAAGGGCTACGATGGCTCGGCCACGTGTCACGCCTGCCAGCCCACTGACTATCGCGACGTGCGTTGCTTTTGCGACGGGGTGTGGATGGAAGAAGAGGAGAGGTGGCCAAGCTATGAATTGGTCCCAAGGAATGAAGGCCATCACTTCGAAGCTTCCATCGGTCGGGCGTCTATGCTCCCTTGCTGGGGTCCGGAAGACGATAAACAAAATTGACGGGATACACTTGCTGATATGGCTAGGAGCTGATTGCAGTGGCGTTGTCACTTAGCAGGTCCATTTGGGGGTCGTACAGTAATCCGCCATTCACACTGGCGACAATTGGATGAGGCAGCTTGTCGGGGGTTGGTATGAAATGGTTTATCCTCCACTCGTTTGGAATCCTAACGGCCAATTTGCTTGTGAAGCTAGTCTCGGCATTCTTCCGACCCCACCTGAAAAAGGTATCCAGGCTTGTCCACCATGTCACAACCGAGACAAAATGGACTAATGGAGGGTGTTCCGAGTGGACACTCGGTTGGTGCAGAGACTACGTTGACAGACGTCTCCTGAACGCTTGTTCCTTTTGGGGATACACGTAATGCACTACCGAAGCATAAGAGGGGACCAGATTCTCACTTATCTTAGTTTGACGCCTAAGCTCGGCCCCGAATTCTCAGAACTATGGAGTCACGCAACATTAGCTAATCTCCGCGGTCACCCACTGAAACTGCGTAAACCACAGTCTGATAGAAGTAGGACGGAAACTCGTATGTCCCGCCGAGTTATACATCGCTGGAATTCGCTTCCAGATCACGTGGTTAGGGAAACTGCGGTTAAGGGCTTTGCGCGCCAGCTCCATGCGTTTGGGTGGCAACACCAGACCTTTGCTTCTCCTAACTGACTCAACTTCACTATTCAGTTCCTTTATTAATGACTAAAATATCCTGGTTTTCTAGTTGATTAGCTCTTTCCACTTGCTCTTTTTGCCTTCTGAGGTTACCAACTTTTCTTACTTACTTCACGCAACAGGCACAGAAGCGATTGATATCACAGGATACGTGGGCATTAGATGGATGAACAGAAAGTGATGCGGTCTTGTTTTGAGTCCATCAGTATTAAAGTCCGTCCATTGGTTCAACGACCAGCTGAAGCAAGAACAGTCACGGGATAATTCTATCGTTCTGGTCCCGCTTGAACTTGAACCACCTTATCCACGTTACCGACGCAGTGATGACAACCGTTGCCTTGCTTGTGTGCACTGATCGGTTAAAGGTTGATTGGAACGCACTGGCCGATCTGACACAAAGCACGTTTCTAACTAATTCCCTTGAAGCAACGGTGCTCATAGAATAAAATATTCAAGCGATTGTCCCCTGTCACCAGTGTATGAAAGCACATTCAATGCTTGACTTAAACTTGCGCCTGTTCAACGAAATATAGGCTCACATAATTGCACTTTCAAGCACATTAAAAGGCCTTAATAGGATTGATATTATATCCAATTTCGGTACTGGGCCTAATTTTGCGCTGTGATAAGTTGCATTGTTTTGTCGCTTTGCTTGACTTTCGCCATGATGGCGCACACCAGTATTTTGCGCCCGTTCTCGCCGATAGCGTGTTGCCATGGAGTCTGACGGTGTTATTGTTGAACCTGCTCACGTACGCCTCCTATACAAAGCGATCTTTAGCTTAGCCTGTTTCTGAGGACAATGTTTCAAAAGTTGACGATTTAAAGCGAAGGTCTAAAGGTGATGATACTGAGAATGGCGATGCTACGTCAAACAGTCAGACCGAAGAGCTGATCGTTAAGAAAGCTAAAGTTGTGGACATTCCCGAGAAATTGCTGATGGTTAGTAATTTGCGGCAACCTTACTTATATCCTTAGAAGGTCCCGATCAAAGCGGTGATAAAGAAGGTAATTTTGATGCATAAAAGTTTCACACTTTCAGAATCCTCAGACAGCAACGGGACTACGGAATCTAAGGTCTCCGGTACGTGACATTTGATTTTGAACCACTATCTCACCGTCATACTGGCCGTAAAAGAGTTGGTATTTCCTGATGTAGTCGGTGATTCCGCCTTACTGCATATGTGCGTCTTTTGGTTGTTACAGATGCTGATGAACACGACGAAGAAACCAAAGCAGAGGATGAACTGAACGGTAGCTTGGAGGCGAAGGGTAAGTCTTTATCTTTGTAACACTCGTCCTGAAGATACTAAATGCCCTGACTCCGACGACGAACAGTCCGCTCCAAACTCTGAGAGCAATGAGGAAGACAAAGAATAACTATCTGCATTTTTAACTCACTGCATTTACACTTTTTGATAACACTTTTCATCGTTTATAACACCGCACTGTCTTCTCCTCGGTTGTTGACTCCCGAGATCGGCGTATATATGCACATTTTGTCAATATTGTTGAGACGCTGATCTTTGTCCCTGAGGCTTATTCAGCGTCAATTTGGAGCATTGTCGTTCACCTGCATATAAGAGAATTTCATAAAACAATTTTAGCCGGTTTCTGTCTTCTCAGTACACTGAGAACAGGTAAACTACCGACCACAGTAGGTTTTTACTAGCAGGCGTTTTGTCTTCGTATCACAAATAACACCGTCCGGAATCAGTGAAGTCAGTATGTGGGCAAAAATTGGCAGGTCTGCGGGGCTGGCTGCATTTCGTTAGCGCAACACTTTAATACGCTTTCGGCACACTTGGTACGTTTTGTGCGTACTTCCAAAGTGACCTGTTTGATTTGAACACATCCTCGTGCCTGACGAATCCACCAGTGGCTTGCGAAAGTCGGGCGGTTGCACTGGATAACGGCCACGCATTGGAAGTGCTTTTCGCCAAAGCTTCGTACGCCTTTTCAAGGTACCCTATCTGAGGCTCGCGCAAATGCTAGCCTCCTGCGGGGTATCTGGCAACGCCCTTTATTGAATGACTGCATTCTTGGAGGGTGGAGAACAGTGTGTACGAGTAGGCCGAGGCCTATCGTTTATGCGGTCAATCCCCAGTGGCTTGCCGCAGGGCGTGGACCGCTGCTGTTCTATATCTATGTGAATGACCGACCTGCGGGGCTTGAGGTACCATCGCTGCTATTTTCTAGTGACCTGAAGCTGTAGAGCATTATCGATGTTCCTGGGGGTTCCGAAGCTATTCAGCGAGCAATGGATAAGCTTTGGGACTGGCCTACTTTATTGTTACTGCCCAGAGATCCTGCAAAGTGCTCCGTTCTTCGATTTGGAGGAGGTTGTCCTCCTACGAAGTATTTGGTCAGTGCGGTGGGGTCGAACTCCCCTGTGTATCTAGCCACGTTGATCTAGGAGTCGTACACTCTTCGGTTTTACACTCCGGCGACAACTGGAAGATGGCCGCAAGCAAATGTTTCCGCAGGTTGTGGTTAATACGACGTTCGTTCGGAGCCTTGACAGGCGGCAGCTTTACGATACTGTTCTCGGCTTTCGTTTGGTCCCATCTGGAATACTGCGTCCAGGGTCGTCTGTCCTGCATCGTCCGGGGAGTACTAGCTCTAGAGGGGATTTTGTGTGTGGGTGCTAGGTTAGTCGAGGAATTAGGGGGACGGACGTACCCCAAGCGTCCGCTGCTTTTGTGAATGCATTCAATGCACAACCGATGGTCGTCCTTCATCTGCATGGCCGCACCATGACTGCCGCTTGTTGTTAGTGATATGCTCAAGCATCATGTTGCTCCTCTGGTCTCCAGGTACGCAGACATATAGGGAGTGGGCGACCTCATAGGATAACATGATCGTTTGTAGTCATTTTATTATGGCCAGGACAAAACCGCCAACTGTAGCTTGCAAACGGGCTGGCGTACAGAGTGCCGAACGTATACGACACAGGCAGATGGAAGCACTGAAATAACATGCTCTTGTAACCTAAAACAAACGCGTTTTTGGAGCTGCATTGGGTCAGTCCTACTGTCTCTTCACCTTAAGTATAGTGTTGCTCGGCTAATGTGTCCGTTTACGTAGCCACTGTTAGACTAAGGAACTCCAGTTTGAGGATTGGCGCATGATCATTTGCAGGTTGCAGGATTCTAGCGAATACGGCTAGCGGCCGTTGAAACGCTGGTTAATATTCTAGCGTCTTTCCTTGGACCTATTAATTGTTCAAGTTCAGGGAAGACTGGAAAGTTAGGATGAATCCCGTCAGTGTACCTTCTTGAGAAGCTCGTTGAGCCAAGGTTTGGTAAGGGTGCTCCGACTTCTGGAATTCAGACTTCCGGCCATAGCCCTTTTATCGAAGCATGAAAGTGACAAGATAGAAAAAATATAACGGCATGCCTCGACATTTTACTTGGGCTACGCGAACTCCTGTACCCACCCGACTACAGAGGATAAACCTTTCTCCCTTGGACTATCGCCGACGTCGCTGACACCTCATCCATACTGGGCGTATCCTACGAGGAGAACGGGGAAATGAGCTGAGGCAGCTTTTTCAGCTAAGACTTCGCGGTTCGACTGAAGGTCACAGCTGGAAGCTGTTTAAACCGAAGAAGTTCAAAGTCCGCTTATACGTTGCCATTTTAACTCAAGTAAGTAATGACTGGAAACGACTGCCGGACCGGATTGTCAATTCGCAGCCCTAAGCGTGTTTCACAGTTTGCAAGACGTCTTCCTAATGAGTACACCAGCATCCTGCAGTGCTTAGGTTACGTGGTGAGTTATGACACAGCTACTACGTGTACAATCCTTGGAAGATTAGTAAGTGAAGGAGCTGACACGGGACCACCCTTCTGCTCTCTAACACTCAATGAAGTCAATGAAAACACAGTGGTCCACAAACTAAATTTCCACGTTCCTTCCATTAGCTGTCCCTGCTATGCCAGTTACGTAAAGTAAGTAGTAAAGGAAGAAAAATCGAAGGTAAAGAGTAAGGGAAATCTGTTAAAGGAAGAGAATAATACCAATGCTGAGGGAAAGTACAGAAAATAGAATCGAAGTATGAAGACAGGAGTTGGTCAGGAAAAAGCAACTGTTTCTTGTTGTCACCCAAGAGCATCTAGTTGACGCACAAACCCCCTAAGCGTAGCGCTCGACGACTCTAAGTGATAACCGTGTCTCAGCACTGACCCGATGGGACTGCGGTTTGTCTAGCTTCATACAATGCCCGCGGAGACCAGATAACCTAACAGGTCTAAATAGCGATGATAACATAAGAGCCAACCTTCCCTGTAAAAATACGATCGGTTAGGATTAAGTCCCCTCTAATCCTTCGATAGTGCATTGAATGCGTCCCATACTAACTAGGCGTTCGGGGTACGTTTTCCCTCGTAGCCCCTCGATCAACCCGGTACCGACACTTAACACCCTTTCTAGTTCCATTTTGTCCCAAACAAGGCATGGTGAACAGGCCTGGGTCGCACGAACGCTGAGAAGATCTTCACAAACACATTGGCGGTTCGGGTCCTGAAAGCACGACGGATAAACCACAGCAGCCGAGACCCTGTACTAGCCGCCATCTTCCAGTTGCCTCCCGAGTGTAGTGTGGTACAGTGGGCGACACCTAGATCAACCTGCAGAGTCAGTGAGGGAGTTCACTCTTATGGAGCACATAGCTTGTTGAGAAATCAGATTCTCCGATGCGCCTCACTGAACACTTTTCCCGGTTTTGGGCAGCTACCACAAGACAGACCATTCCCAGGGCCTTCCCAGATTCCGGTGAATGGCCACCTGACCTCCAGAGATAACAATATTTCAGAGCGTTAGGTCATCAGCAAATAAAGGCGATGGTACCTCAAGCCTCCCCGGCAAGTAAATCACGTAGGATGTGAACAGCAGCGGACGTAGAACAGAGCCTTGCGGAACACCGATAAGGACAGCTTGTCTAAACGAAAGACTGCTTCACACACGCATACACAGTTCTCGTCCACCCAGCAATGCTGACTCCTCTGGATAGCGCGACCAGCTATTCCATAAGACCACAAATTCCATGAGAGTCGTGAATGTGGGTCAGTATCAAATGCCTTATCGAAATCAATGAACACGAACTCCACCACATGTCCACTGTCCATGGCTTCAGCCTAGTCCACACGGGCTACCAGCTGGCTTGCCAAACAACCTCCTCGTGGTGCCAGCCTGGTGGTTCGGGATTATCCCATTCCAGTGAATGACATAGCGGCAGTGTTCCAGGATGTGGTGTATTCCGCCTGGCGAACGTTCTCCCTATAAAAAGCTACATATGTACGTTTAACATCACCGTGACGTGGCGGAGGTGACTCACCACTAATTAAAGCTACTGCCACTTGCTTCTCTCTGAGTGGCATGTTAATTCAAGTGTGGGTTGGGCATCTGGTAATATGCGGTCCTAAAGGCGTATGGACCATTGAGTTTGTCGCCGGCTCCCCAAGGGTTGCGATGCAGTCATATCGCCAGGCTGTCTTTTAAGTTAGATCCTTGCTCAAATGCTTGGGGTGGGGTCTCCTAAGACAACCCTCTATTTCGGCCTGGACAACCGGGTAGTATCTCGCCCACTGAAGGACCATGGACCTACAACCACAATCATTCACCCGCTCCCTTGCTGCTACCATGCTATTCACTCATGTCACTATGCTAACTGCACAAACACACGCCAACATTTTACCTACCCTTCCCTTGTACCACTCACACCCAGTTTTACCTGCTTCCTCTATGGCGATCAACCCCACCTACACTTAAGACCTGTTCCCGTGCCCCCTGCCAACTCAACCACACAGTACTCAACAGAGAGCTTCCGGTCCCAAAGTCACCCACCTTCACTCCTGCAACACGGAACGCACTTCAAACTCGCAGTCTTCAACGTAAACACATTACTGCAGATCGGTCAGGAAGTTGGACTTACACGCACGCTAGAGACCCTTGGAATTGATGTTTGCTGCTTGAATGAAACACGACCCCAGGGCCCTAACTGGGTCTACCAGCTAGTGTCACTGCTCCACCCACGCATCCGCTTCCCTCTACACCTGTCTGGTGACGCCGAGTCTGCCGCATGAGCAAACTGGTATTGAATTCGCCCTTAGTGCTAGAGGCGAGACTGCTTTGATTAATTGGATTCCGATCCGATGAGGTTCCATGGCTCTTGTAAAGTTAGCAGACCTCAAGACGAAAAGCGTGATCTCTTCACGAGCTCTGCCTACGCGCCCACTGGATAACTCGGA